GGAAGCGGCCTTTTCAGAAAACAGCTATTACCAAGTCTGGAAATGTTTCCAAAAGGACGCGAGTAGCTCATGGACAGAGCACTGAAGTGGCCATCAGTGCCGAAACACGGGTGCGGAGCCGCTCAAAAGCGACTGTGGCAAGTTAGTGTGCCTGGCATGCCATACAACATTGTCAGGGAAGAAGAGTATAATCATGTCCCATATTGCTACTGCGAGACACAAACAAGGAAAGTCCCGTTTGGAGAGGGAAACTCAGAGGCAGAAGCTGGTCAAGGAGTCCTTCTTGGCGTATCAGAAACGACTTGGGAAGGCTCTAGCCGGCACCGGTCTTACTGAGGCCGTTAGTTCAGCCGAGTCTCTGCGGCAGATCCAGATTGTGCGTTCTATGTTGCATTGCATGGGTGCAATATTATAGTGTTTCTCTTAGCCCGATACCGCAAGGTTCAGGAGTTTACATTCCATCCGGAGGAGCATTATCAGCATTATTTGGAGCATTATATGGCCTTTTGTGGAGCATTACTGAGAGCATTATACCCCATATTACCCAGCATTATCCGCCAACACCTACCGCCAGCCATGCATCGACCAGGCGCCAGGCGCGAACTGATGGTGGTGGTGGTGAGAAGGAGAGCTCTGTGCCAGAACTTTGCAGCCTAGAGAGGGTGTGTGGGCAGGCGTGTGTTTACCGCCATATTGCCAGGTGTGTCTTTACCACCATATTTATCAACCATAAGTACAGCTGCAGTGATGTCTTCGACTTCATTCTATTAATGGTAATGGTGAAACATTTGGGTTGAAAACGGTGTTCCGTGCTATTTATGAATTCTCACAAAGCAGGTATGTAAAAAGAGTTTTTAAAGTTGCGATGTTGGCATCATGTTGCTATGGAAATATTTGCAATACAAAAGAGCAAATACCAAGAAGTACCAATGGCAATGTGGGTCTTGGTCACAACTAGGTAATGCAAACAAATTGAATGTAGTGCATGCAATTCTCAATGTGGTAGTACCGTAATACTAGTTTCATAGTGTAATCTAGACCGAATTCCACATCCAGAATGCCAAAATTGGCAAAAATGTATCGGATGCCGGTAAAAACTGCTGTTTATGCTAGCATCGTGTGGAGTCACAAAAAGGCCCTTTTATGCTACTTTGGGTGCTAGCATTTGCCGCTGGAGCCTAATTGTAGTTCTAGATCTACTAGAAGTAGAAAGAGCCTACGTCGCTACGTCCACGTAACTCATTGGGTTTCGCCCGTGTTCGAAGCAAGACGCTTCTAAACCCAGCGTGGGATTCTCCTCCACCGCCATGTGTGATTTCAAGCGTGCGAAGAGCAGAGCACTCGAAATCGACGTGCATGTGCAGCGGAGGTCGAGTGGGCCTACGCAAGTAAGGAAGCTGAAGTGATCACCGGTCCACAGTCCACGAACTTTCTTCTTTGTCTTTTGATTTGAGCCGTTTTTGATGTTATTATTATAAACTCAGCCCCAGACTCTAGTGTAGAGGATCATCTATTGCCAAAGTACGAACGCTTGCTCAATGCTTGTGAGTTGTACAGTACAACCTGGTGTAAGCGACCTCTGGGTTTAGCGACCACTTGCTCTTAACGACCGTTTTTCCACGTGCGGACAGTTCTACATAGAAACGGTGTGACCTGGTTCTAAAGACCACCTGGCTTTAACGACCGCTTTTGCTTGCACCGTGGTCCGTGGGGTGGTCGCTTAAAATCCAGGTGTTACTGCAGTTGTAGTACGATCGATTGACTGGTCGTTTGTGTTTTTTTTGTTTGAAGTTTTATTTTACATCGCAAACCAAACGGGCATTGATGCCCAATATTATGATGGCGATAGAATAAAAAGTGTGGCTCGATAAAGCTTCACTTGCGAAAATGAGAAAACAGTCAAAAGGAAGTATTTGTACCGGTAATTACAAGTCA